ATGTAATCTTAAGAAGAAGGACAATTGTCACCTGCTACAATCCGATGAACTTTGAGACACTATGCTAGGTAAAATAATCTTGTCATAAGAAGGGCACATACTGTGTGGGTCCACATATATGAAATATCTAAATAACTCAGAATAGAAATGGGATTCCTATGAGCTAGTGAGTGGATGACCCAAAATAGAGTAGAAATATGGTCTCTAAGGCCTGGTGAGTGAAGGGATGGTGGAGGAGGTCCTTCTGTTTGTGTGTTGATTTCATTGGTTAATAAAGGATATGCTTTGGGCCTATAGCAGAGCTGTAGGGGAACAGAGCTAGGTGGGGAAAACTAAACAGAATGTTGGGAGGAAGAAGGCAGAGTCAGAGAGAGAGATGCCATGGAGCTGCCAGAGACAGACGCTGGTCGGAACTTTTGCCAATAAGCCACAGCCACATGGTGATACACAGATGAATAGAAATGGGTTAAATTAATATAAGAGTTAGCCAATAAGAAGCTAGAGCTAATGGGTTGGGCAGTGACTTAATTCATACAGTTTTTGTGTGATTATTTTGGTTCTGGGCAGCTGAGATGAGCAAGCAGCTCACCCCAACAAAGGGATTGGTGTTTGATGAGTACATAGTTTTGGTTTTGCAAGATGAAAACATTCTAGATAGATCTATTAGACAATAATGTGGATGTATGTGATATTTAACATAACTGAATGATTATGATGGTTGATTATGGTTTTCAGTTTGACTAGAGTAAGAGATGTAGAGAATCCATAAAATGCATCTCTGTTTGTATCTGGAGTTACTTCCAAAGAGGATTCATGTGTGGGCTGATGGCTAGGGGAGAAAGAATTGCCCTGAGTGTGGCTGGTGGTATCTCGTGGGCTTGTGCCCTGAGTGACAAGATAGATGTAGAGGAAGAAGGTGGATCCAGTTCTTTCTGAGTGAGTGTTGCTTCCTTTGTTCACTGGCCATCAGACTCCAGCTGTTGTAGTTTTTCTATGTGGATTCAATACAAACAGCTCTCCAGGCTTTCAGAGCTGGGCCCAGTAAGGTGTCCAGCTTTATGGGTTGGGCAGCTACCCTGTCTCAAACAAACAAACAACAAACCAAAAAAAAAAAAAAACCCAAGCAAATAAATAAAAGATATAAGAAAAATTCAATAGCTTAATATTCTCTCTCTCTCTCTCTCTCTCTCTCTCTCTCTCTCTCTCTCTCTGTGTGTGTGTGCATGTGTATGTGTACATGCATCCTTGTGGGACTAAAAGTAAACTTCAGGTCTTGCTCTCAGGACTACCTCATGGTAATTTTTAAGGCAGAGTCTCTCCTTGGGACTAAGAGCTCATGAATTAGGTTAGGCTGACTAGCCAGGGAACCCTGGGGATCCATCTGCCTCCACCTTCCCAGTGCTGGAATTACAGGAACACACCATCATGCCTACCTTTTTACGTTCATACTGAGGGTTAAACAGATTCAGGCTCTCACACTCATACGGAATGCACTTTGCTTACTGAGCCATCTCCCCATGCCCGAATTGTGCAAAGCTGTGTACAACTCAGTCAGACTCAAATGAGTTCCTCCTGTGTACACACCTGTGCTTTTATTTTCTACCACTGAAGATGACAGAAGAGCCACAGTATACTGGATTTGACAATTGCATATTCTTGGTCAGATCTTACCTTAGTGATCATATTATCATTGTTTTTACACTAAAGTTTGATTTATATGCACATCCACACAATGAAATTGGGGCTGGAGAGGTGGCTCAGCGGTTAAGAGCACTGCCTGCTCTTCCAAAGGTCCTGAGTTCCATTCCCAACAACCACATGGTGGCTCACAACCATCTGTAATGAGATTTGGTGCCCTCTTGAGGAAGAGACCTGGTCAGTTGTCCTTATCAACATAGACCATGGAACCCAATGTGGACAAGTTCAACAGAACCGCCATATACGGGCTGCCCATGCATGCTTCAGCATTGCCAGGGCATAAATTTTATTTTCATTTTTTTCAAGATGAAATTATTTTTCCATATTTACTTTGTATTTTTTTTTAAAAATTTGAGACAAAAGCCTTAGCATTAAACTTGCTATCTCTTTCCTACCCTCTCCACCCTCTGAGGCAAGGTCTGAAAATGAAGTAAGAGATTAAGCTAGAACTCACTTCCTTTCCCAGTTCTGGCCTTGAAATTCTGAGACTGAAGGTTGAATTTTCTCTGTAGATGAGGTTGAGCTTAAAATTTGATCTTCCTGCCTCTACCTCTCCAGGGCTGGGACTTAGGTATGAATGTGCCACCATATTAATTTTCTTTTCCAGCCATTCTGGTGGGGCCAGAGACGTGAAGCACAGGTCAGTAGGTCTTGGCATCCAAGCCTTTTCCACCTTCAGACGATCACATCTCATTGGAGCACCTGGGATATGGACCTGTGTTATCAGGCCAGGTTGTCTTAAATTTTCCATCATCATAAAATATATAATTGTTGTTTCAATTTTGATCCAATACTAATCTTCAAATTTTCTCATTTGTTTTTATGTAAATAGTTACAAGTTTAATAGGGTGATAACATTTCCTTCTGGAAAACCCAAGGCCTTGCTGCAACAGTTTTACAGGCCCATAGATCAGACTATTAAATCCATCTTTTCTTCTTTCTTTTCTTCCTTCCTTCCTTTCTTCCTTCCTTTCCTTCTTTCTTTTCCTCCTTATTGAGACAGGGTCTCACATAGCCCAGATTTGCTTCAAATTTGCTCTGTTGCTGAATATGACCTTGAACTCCTGATCCTCCTGCCCCTGCCTCCCAAGTGCTGGGTTTACAGGCAAGCACGACCACACCTCCTTTACATAGTGCTGGCAGTCCAACCCAGGACCCTGTGGCTTCTAGGTTAATACTCTACCCTAGCTACATCTTCAACCCTCCATCTTTCTGTTTTACTCAGGGCAGTACTCTGGACAGCGCAGTCTCACAGAAGTCTAGAAGGTCTAATCTCTTCCTTCTGTAAGTGCAAGATATTTTCCTCAAATGATCTCTTTAATAATTTAATTGGATAATAAGTGGCAGATAACATGTAAATTAAACTATCCTCCAAATAATCACTGATATAAATTGTTAATACATAGTTGTTTTTCTAGACATTTTATGGCTTGAAAACCAAGCCAAAAATGTAGGTCTTACAACACAGAAAATACAAATACTCAGGCCCTGCTTTTCTTTTCCCTGCTATTGGTTTTGAGGACTGTGGTATCTACAGGAGTGTGTGTGTGCATGTCTCTCTCTCTCTCTCTCTCTCTCTCTCTCTCTCTCTCTCTCTCTCTGTGTGTGTGTGTGTGTGTGTGAGAAGATCTGATATGAGGGCAGCAATCCCTCGGCTGCGATCAGTAGAACCAGAGTCAAAAATTCCAAGTCCAGTTTTTTCACTCTGCTTCCTAACTCAATGACCCTACAAATCAGTCCCTTCTCTGTTTTTTTTTTTTTTTTTTTTTTTTTTTTTTTTTTTTTTATCTGTAAAATAGGAAAAGCAGAACATTTCCCATTTGGCTTTGTTTGAAGTCAAGAGCTAAACAATTATGCTTGGTTGATGGATGGTTCACCCCACCCCCTTTTCATTGCCCAGCAAGGCTGCTGATGAGAGAGGCTTGAGCTTCTCCCTGTTTCAAACACCAAGATGTTGCTTGAGAGGTTCCTGAATTCCTGTCTCTAGGACGCCTAGGTAATCAGCAGGAAGGCATCTTGACATTTACTTTAAAGAGATGATTTACCCTCTCTGATACCGTGTGAGGCACCGCTTTGTATGGGGTCTTAGCTTCATCATTTAAGTGATTTAATATTATGCACAAGCAATAGTATCCACAGGATGGCCATTGGACGAGTATTCTCTGTAGTAGTTGATCATGCGTATGTTGGGGGGGTCCCTTTTTTTTGTATTCCATCATTTTCCGTTTTGTGGAAATGAAAATGCCCTCTGGGAATTACTATTAAAGAACACGATTGTGGAATGCTGCCTACTCACAGAAGGATGCGTTCACGAAACTCAATCTAGCCAGAGCACTGCACCGGTGGATTTGTATTCCTGAAGCAACAACTAAAATAAGAAATGTTAATTTCTCGCAGACTATTATCAGATGATTTTTAAATATCTGCCAAGCAGGAATGTCTGTTCCCATGTGAGGAATTTCCGTAATAAAACCTTGGCACCAGAGCACAAGGCGATAGTTTTACAGAAACGGAGAAAAACAGCAAGCGTTTTTCCCGGAGGACAGTTTTAGCTACAATTCACCAATACTTGCTTTGTTATTTCTGTCTTATTCTATGCTTTTGTTTTGAAACATAATGCAATTTTACCTGGATACACTCCCGGGCAATCAGGAAATAGCTCAGTATGTTGGTTGGCACTGCCAAATACAAGACCTGCGGAAAATCAGAAGGCTTTGCCGCCTGGCCGCTTCCCCCACTCCCAAGGCTGGGCGGGCACAAAATGGGTTAAGGCTTATTGAGAATAGAGGGGAGGGAAAGGAGCCCCTGAGGAGGCCAGGAGTAGCGGGCAGCGCCTCCAACTCCAGCTTCCATCACCTGCAGCGGCTGCGGAGCTCAGAAAGCTGCTAGTTGCTGCTGTGCTTTTCGGAGGAGGCAGGATGCTGAGGCCAATTTCTAGGACCACTGTGAGGAGTGGGCGTGGCCTCGGCGGCAGCAGTGTGTGAGCCTGTTAGGGCAGATGCTGGTTGCTTTTCAGTGAGGAACCAGCATTGGGGGGGGGGGGAGCGAGGAGAGAGAGAGNGAGAGAGAGAGAGAGAGAGAGAGAGAGAGAGAGAGAGAGAGAGAGAGAGGAGGGGAAGAGGAGGGAGGAGGGAAAGAGGAGAGAGCAGCAGCGCGTGAGAGGAGGGAGAGGAGGGAGGGAGGAGAGAGCCAGAGAGAGCTAGAGATACTGAAGACTCAGTCAGTGCTGGGTGAAGGACTGAGGAGAACCTGTCTCCAGCGTCCTGAGAGCCACTCGAGATCTTTTTGGGAGCTCAAAAATTATGACTATGGAATCTATCACTGGAACTGTCCTCAAGATGTTACTTCTGTTGTCTACTCAAAACTGGAACAGAGTGGAAGCCGGGAATTCCTGTAAGTACACAGCAAATGATTTAAAACTTGCGGGGGGTCTACGCGCAAAACTTTAATTCTGTTGTTTTTTTTTTTTTTTAATGATTAATTCTTTCAACTGGAATCGCTGTGGGGGGCTAGGCGAAGTACCACAGGAAAATGTGCAAATTTGTTCCTCTTGGTCTGGCCAAAATATGCAAAACGTTATCTGGACCATTTTTCTTTTTAAACTAGCAGAATCTCACTCTCCTTGAATATTCATTGTGGATAGTCAACTTCTAGTAAGACATTAAATTAGCATCTGAATCAGGCACTAGCCTAGGCACCTTTCTTTGGGTTATTGAGTTTCGTTGGGATTCTTTGGCTATCAGGAAACCAACCCGCAGGCTTGATATTCTGCTGCAGTAGCTGAGATTCCTGAAGTTTGCGATTTAGCAGGAGCTGGCTGCATCTCTAAAATGATGCAGGCTAATAACTGAAACCTACTGCAGACTTCACAGGCAGGCAGTACTGGTGGACCAGCTCAGCACTGAAGAGCCCCGGTCCGCTCTGGGAAGATCAGTCCTAGATGGGCACCCAGCCCTACATCTGGCTTAAAGGGAAATGTGAAGGTGATTTTCCCCCACCCCTCTTAAGTAGTGTTCTCTAGTGGTTGAATTTTCAACTTCATGTATTTGTGATTGTCCTGGTGCTGAGTTCATTGATTCAAGGAACGTTCATTACAGTCTCTTGGCTTAATTTAAATTTCACCCAAAATACATTGGCCAGCTCTCATCAGCATCAGCTTGCCATTGGAGACAGGAAAAGTTTTGAAAGTTTATATTTAGCTTAAATTCTCCAAAAGGAAGCATTTCCCCTTCTGCTGTGCATGATAAACAGCTCAGCAAACACAACTTTTTCTTCTTTCTCGGATTTGAAAGACAAGCCTTATCTGCTTTGCATTACAGGAACAGGTTACAAGGCCTGTTCAGGAAGGGATGCCACTGCTGTATTTACCAGGTTTAGGTTTGGGAGACAAGAAGCTGGTAGCTCTCTTTGTTGTAGACCCTCCTTTGACTTTGCCTGAGAGCCCTTATGAAGGAAAAACACAGGGAACTCACTGTCACGAGCCCAAGCCCACCCAGACCACAAGGCCACTGGGATTTTCTGCTCCCCTTTTTAGGAACTCATTTAAAGTCACAATTTATCTGCCACTCTGCCAAGGAGAGAACTTCACTCCTGGGCTGTACTGTGTTTTCCCTTTCCCTTTTAAATCGGATGTGTGGGAATCTTGTTAAGTCGATAAAGTGTGCGTTGTTCCACCCAGTCCTGATCTTAGGGATCCTGTGGTGATAGCCTTTGACAAGCATTGTAGTAAATAAACAGCCAGGACCAAGAGAGACCAGAGCCTGTCCACCCAGGCAAATGAAGTTCTGTGGCAAAGGTGTAATTCCTCCGGAAGCTGCATGAGTTCAGTCAAGAGGGAGCACTAGAGGTCACTGTTGCGATGTGAAGAACACACAGGCTCCTTTTCCCTGGAGAAGGGCAGAGCTTCACCCTGGCCTAACCCAGTTTGTCTTTCCAACGCGTTGCCTGGGGTTCAGTCTGCAGTATCTTAATATAAATATAAATTTGTGAGCTGTTGACGTTTGTCTGCTTGCTTGGAATCTGATGCAAAGAGTAGCCAGAAGATCCAAACTAAAGGGCCTCCTTTCCTAGTACATCTTAGCCAAGGAAAAGTGAATAGTTGAGATTTGAGGAGAGGCCAGGGTTCTTGTCCTCTTGGCTCTGGTTGGGCCTCTCATTGGTGCGATTTCAGCATTGGATTTGTATCCATTGGGGCTTGAGTTCTTTATGAAGACATTGGATAAACTCCGAGAGCCTGGAATTGAAATTATCAGGAGCGCTTGGGTATTAGAGTTGGAATTCTTGCTTAGCAGACCTGTTTAAGAGTTGACTTTTCTTCAAGTGTTAAGTTCATAATTCAGTGGCTTCAGATGACTAAGATGACTTTTAGTAATTTCTTATTGGATTTTTTGACAATGTAATTTGCAAATGTAGATGCAAAGGATTTCATTTCCTATTTTTTGTATCATTCTTCAGTTTTTACATTTCGGAGGCATCAGCACCCACTTGTTGCTGGGTTAGGATGGAAAGGTCATTTCTGGAAGACTGAGTATGTATTATGTGTTTATGAGCAAGGATGCAAGTGAGCCGAAGACAGGAAACATACTAACGCAATGATCTCAAAGTCTTATAAGGCCTCCAATAACTCTTCTAAACCAGGTTGTATATTAATAAGAAGTGAATCAATCTTAAATCCCACTAGTAAAGTCAGGGGGAGCTGAATATAAGCAAAAGAAAATTAAAGGCCTGTCTCTTGGGTGAATGCAAACACCTTTCTCCTTATTTACAAGTGACTCACAGGGAGACAAATCTGTCATCCACTGAGTCAGCCTTTGGGTAACAATAAGAACATTTGCCTAGGGGACTCTGTAAACCTGGGATTAGCTGAACTCTAATTTGAATATTAATTGATCTAATTAATCAACTGGGAAATTTGCATTAGAAAGATTCCATGCAAACACAACCGCCCAACTCCTCTCTCTCTCTCTCTCTCTCTCTCTCTCTCTCTCTCTCTCTCTCTCTCTCTCTCCTCTCTTTCATATGCAGGGAAATGTGCACACACCTGTGCACGTGAACAGACACAACTTATCCATGTGCCTGCAGTCAGTGACCGTGGCTGTGATCAGATCTGTGGGTTTAAGAAGAAATGTATTGAGTGGGTCACATTCTTTGCTTCTTGGGTCCCATATGACATCTCCAAGCTGTGAACCAGCACCCATCTTGTACTTTTTGTCCAGGTCAAGATATGTTTGCTGCTCCACTGAGCCATCCTTTTCTTGCAAACACAGCGACTGGCATTCTTGCACATGGTCTTACCCTCCTGCTTCCCTTTGACTTCTTCACTTCCTTCTAAGAAAGATGTACTGTAACAGGGCAATTATTTATTTATTTTACTCTTGCTCTTAAGAACCCACCATTTCTGAATATCAAGATGGTTTGGGGGGCTTCACGCAGCACCTAAGAAGAATGGGAGTGTAACTTGTAACTCCATCCCATGATGGAGGACACATTGAGCCCCACTCTCAGAATAATTAACGCCCACTAAATGGCTCACTAATGACTTAATTAGAAATGAGTTTCTGTCCTTGTTCTTTCTTCCCTTTAATTGAAATCAGGGATATATGTCTGATATCTACCCTGAAGGAAGTATCAAAGAATGTGATAAAATCAATAATCAAGAAAGGTGACTGCCTGAGTGGATGATCATTCTCACCAGGTCTAGCCCAATTACAAGGACAGATCCTCGCTATTAAAATTCAGTTTTGCCGTTCTTTCTAAAAGTGCCTCTTAGTTCTCTTCCCTCCTCCAGATGTGCTTGTATAGTAATAATAGGAAATTTTTAGAATGCAGTACCGAAGAGCTGTTGAGTGTGATTCACGATGCAATGTGTGATTGGCTGGCCCTTGGGAGTGACGATCAGTAGGTTCTCTGGATCTCTCCTGGGGTCATTTACTCCCATTCTCTGCTCACTGCATCAACTCTGGATCCTTTCTGATCTTTTGCCGCAGGGCTAATATAGCTTATAAGCCAATGCGGAGACCAAACACACCTTCCATATGACACCCAGGGCTTAATTAAAGTTGTAAATACTGTTATTGTCTTCTGATATTAGTTTTGGAATTCATATCACATATCAACAATCAGAGTCAGTCTTCATGTCAGTGGGCTTTGTTTTTTCATTGAAAATAGATCAGTAGAACTGTGTAAAGTCATTGGAAACAGGTTGGAATATTTAGCTCAGGGCTTGGGGGAGTATGGCCCATGAATCCAACCTGGCCTCATGCCTGTCTTTATATGGCCTGTGAACTAGCAGTGGGGTTTGCATCTTTATGAGAGAGAGAGAGGGGGAGAGAGAGAGAGAGAGAGAGAGAGAGAGAGAGAGAGAGAGAGAGAGAGAGAGGAAGTCTCTGTGGGACAAAATGGCAGTGTGAAATCTGAGTTTATGTTTATATTAATTGATAAAATGCTCTTACGTCATGAACCATGCTAATACTGAAGCAGCGGCTCACACTACTGGCAAGTACAACAGGAGAACCCTACACTTTCATGTTCCCTCTATCTGTTTCTCCTAAACCACTATTGAGAAGTCTCATTTCCATGACTATGCAATACCCGCCTTTGTTAGTTAGCTTTCACAGCACCTTTGGCTTCTAGGGGGCCACTTTTAATCTCAAGTAATTGCATTGCTATGCAGTGCTTGACAGAGTCTGTGAGCAATTTCAACTCAGATGTGGGATGAAAATTCTGCTCTTACTTCACATTCTCACGATCGTAAAAAGGAGTCTACTCTATATGAATCAGAAAAGATTTGGAATCAAATTGATTATGTGAGGGAAACGTTCTTGTGTGAAGAGTGTTCTTGCTTTGAAAGTAACTTAGCAGCTTCCCCAAAATGCTCAAGTTGGCAAACTTTTAGAACAAATTGAAAAATAGATTTTCATTTAAGCACAACCCACTGAGAATGCACAATAATTAAGCAAGTACTTTCCACCTACTCATGCCAGCGTAATTAATTTGTATGTAAATATCGTGTCCATTTGGAATTGGATTTACCTTTGATCTCCAGAAACTTGTCATTAGGTTAATTTTGTTCATATTACATTATTTACAGCATTTTGAAGAGCAAGGAAAAATGTGATAGTGTATACTATTAATTTTTTATTGTAATTTGTAAATGGTTATGTGTTAAAATTTTATTTTTATGATTTATTCATATTTTTTCTTTTGAGGCATGGTCTCATGTAGTCCACATTGTATTTGACCTTGCTGTGTCTGACTTTCAACTCCTGACCCTCCAGAATCTGAGTTCTGACTCTCAAGTTCTGAGATTCCAGGCATGTGCCACTAAGCCTGGCTCATAATATTTGTTTTGTTTTGTTTGTTTGTATTTTTTGAGACCGGGAGTTACTATGTAG